AGCCCAGAGTCTAAAACCCTCACCTCTGACAAGGCCCAGGCCCTGTGGGGTTACAGCCTCCAACCACAGGAGCTCAAATCCTCTCAATTTTGAGCCTGCTAGGGTTCTTTCACCATTGGATCCCTAAATTTGCTGTTATAGCCAAGCCTCTGTACCAAGCAGCCCGAGAGACTCCCACGGGGCCTCTCACCCACCTGGCCATCGTCAACCACCACTTCTCTCTGCTGTGGGATGCCCTTCTGACAGCCCCTGCTCTTGTTCTTCCAGACCACATGAAGCCTTACCATCTCTATATAGATAAGCGGTCTGGAGTGGCCACACGAGTTCTAACTCAACAGGCTGGGCCTTCGATCGGGCTTTTTCTCCAAACAGCTGGACCTCACTGTCTGTGGATGGCAACCATGCCTAAGAGTGCTGGCAGCAGCAGCTGAACTCACTCGGGAGGCTCTCAAGAGCACCTTGTCCAGGCCAATCATGGGTGGATAGAAATGTTTCTGGCCTCCAGGAAAACGGCAGATATGGTGGCCCAGGGTCATGGAGCTTGTGTCAGAAGCTCTCAACATCTCCTGGAAATTCCACATCCCTTACCATCCACAATCCTCAGGAAAGGCGGAGAGGGCCAATGGACTCACCAAACAACAGCTAACCAAGCTATCCATTGAACTCAGGTTATCTTGGCCCTTCCTTCTCCATTACCCTTACTCGCCCACATTCCCCTACGGGTCTGAGGCCTTCTGAACTGCTTTTATGGCAGGTCCTTTCTCCTCAACCATCACCTCCCAGTCCATACTCCTCCACTGGCGGGGTATCTACCCTACCTCTTTCTTCTGAGGTCCCTTCTCTGTTCACATGCTGACAGTTGTCTCCCTGCCCCCACACCAGTTGACCCTAATGCCCTTAAATCTGCCCCCCTCTCCCCAAGGATAGAGTACTCCTCAAACAGACAACTCCTAGGTCTCCTCAACCTCGATGGACAGGACTTCACAGGGTAATCCTCACCACCCCCTTGGCTGCCAAGCTTCTGGGACACTCCTGCTGGTACCATCTCTCCAGGCTCAAGCAGGCACCTATGCAGGACACTTGACACCTGCCTTCTTACCTACCTCAATAAACAGACGCCTGGTGTCTTGGGGATGATATAAACAGGATGCCTCTCCAGCCACACCTCTTGCTGTGCATAAACCCACCAACACCCAGCTCTCCCCTCCCCCAAGGTAGCCAGACTGGAGTTGACGCCCCTTTCTCCAAAGAGAGCTTAAATGTTGGTCATAAATATCAGCTCAGCTTCCTGTCACCCCTTATACAAACAGTCTGGAATGTAATCCCAGCCTCAGCCTCCATCTTTTGAGTCCCCTCCTCTGTGCCCCTTGAACCTTGACTCCTCCCCAGGAAAGGTCAAGACCACTCCCATAGGCTTTTTTTTTTTTTTTTTTTTTTTTTTGGTTTTCCGAGACAGGGTTTCTCTGTGGCTTTGGAGCCTGTCCTGGAACTAGCTCTGTAGACCAGGCTGGTCTCTAACTCACAGAGATCCGCCTGCCTCTGCCTCCGGAGTGCTGGGATTAAAGGCGTGCGCCACCATCGCCCAGCTCCCATAGGCTATTTAAACTGCTCCCCAGAAAATAAACATATGGTTTTCCCTCTTCCTCTCTGGTGGTCACATTGGTGGCTTCCCATTTTCCCTTGGGGCCACATGGGAGCGCAGGTATCTAATTAAACCTGGATATCTTTTAATTTGGTCTGATTTGGCTTGATTGAGATTATTTTGCGTTGGCGGAGTTACTCGGTTAGGAAAATATTCCTAACACCCATATCTCTAATAAAAAGCAGTCATGTCCTCTATTTATTTCCTTTTTCATTCAGTTATTAGTAATCGCTTATGTGGTTCTACAAAGGAAAAACTAAGTAGGACAAAAATACAAAATGTACAACTTGAAGCAAAAAAGTGCACCAAGAAATGTAATGTTGGAATCCAGGTTTATGCTCAGAGACAAGGAAATTAAAGAAAGGCCTGCTCTGAAAAAGATCAAAGGAAGTGTGCCCTTAGAGCAAGACCCCAACCAGCTAAACTTCTAAAGGCCTGAGGAATTTTCTACTCCTAAAAAGCAACAACAAAGAAAAGCTTGTGTCAATGTGATTCAGGGGGCCAGGCTCCATCGCAAGCAGGCAACAGGATTCGACCACAGGATTCTGACTTTTAGAGTCATGAAGGATACACTCGTACAGGGGTCATGGAACCTTCCTTCACGGTGAAGTAGAGCAACCGAAGCCAGGCTCGTGGAAGGGAATAGTCCCTTCAAGGAGGCCCAGGGATGCCATTGTGTGAAGCTCATAAAGTAGAAACTGGATTGCACTGGAGACCCTATGATGCTGGAGATGCCTGAGCTGTAGGATATCCTGCCAAGGGGAGCCACAGACAGAAAGGCACCAGCTCGAGAGGGCGGGAAGGGTGTTAATGTGGTGCAATCAGCAAAGCTGGAACGGTGGAGCCGTCTGAGGCCTCTGACATCAGACAAGGAACTACAGGATTTGGAGTCTGCTCTTTTAGCTTTCAGTCTTATGTATGCATACGTTGGTCCTGTATTTCTTTACTCTGCCCCCATTCCTCTTTTAGAATGGTAATGTATGTTGTCTGCCATTGTGTGCTATAAATATAAATATGTACTTTGCTTTTTTATTTTGATTTTACAGGGCACTACAGATTAAAAGATTGCCTTGAATCTTTGAAGAGACTTTGGAATTTTGGACTTTTAAACAGTGTTAAGATTGTAAAAGAGTATGGGGACCTTTGAAGTTGGACGACATGGGTTTTCTGTTATGATATGACCACATGCCTGTGGGAACCAAGGAGTGGAATGTAGTAGTTCAAATGAGGATGGCCCATAGGCTTCTATATCTGAATACTTTTTGTGACCTTTGAGACTTCAAAAGCCCACACCATTCCCTGTTAGCTCTCTCTCTCTCTGCCTCCAACTTGCAGATCAAGATATAAGCTTTCAGTTGCTTCTGCCATCGCGGCTTTGGTCCGCCATAATGGACTCTCACCCCTGAAGCTGTAAGCCTGACATTGAATATTTTTTTTATATATTACCTTGGTCAGGTGTTTTATCCCAGCAATAGAAAAAATAGAAAAGTAACTAAGGCGACTGATAAAGCTGGGGTTTTTGTTTGTTTGTTTGTTTGTTTGTTTGAGATTGGGTTTCTCTGTAGCTTTGGAGCCTATCCTGGAACTGGCTGTTGTAGACCAGGCTGACCCCAAACTCACAGAGATCCGCCTGCCTCTGCCTCCCAAGTGCTGGGATTAAAGGCATGCGCCACTGCCTAGCTTGCATCTGTAGAAATTTTGAGTTATGTTTTGCTACATCATTTTTTAAAGTTTATTTATTACATATACAGTGTTCTGCCTGCATGTATTCTTACAGGCCAGGAGGAGGAACCAGATTTCACTGTGGATGCTCGTGAGCCACCAGGTGGTTGGTAGGAATTGAACTCAGGACCTCTGGAAGAACAGCTAGTGCCCTTAATCTCTGAGCCATCGCTCCAGCCCCAATAAAGCTGTTAAGAGCAAACTGGTGTTGCAGTTGTGAGAAACCAGACCAGGAAGCTGTGTGGAATGTTGAAAGCATCACCGACATCTCTCTCTCCTCTTTTGGCCACACTGAAGCTGAGCCAAGAGGCTCGCTCCTGCTGGCCAAGGCTCTGTCACTGAGCTGGTGCCTCAGAGCTTTGCGGAGTTTTAAGATGAGATTTATATATTTGCTGGTAGGGAGTGTGAGCGTCACTACATGTGTGTGGAGGCCAGAGTGCGGCTGGAGAGTTGGTTCTCTTCTGAGGTGAGTCATCTGGGGATGACTTTAGGCAGTGAGGTATGGCAGAAAGTCCTAAACAGCTGAGCCATCTCCAGATTAGCCAGCTTTTGATATTTTTTTTTTGACAAGTCTTTTTTATTTTCTTTTCTTTAAATTTTTTTTTGTTGTTGTTGTTTTGAGACAGGGTTTCTCTGTGGCTTTGGAGCCTGTCCTGGAACTAGCTCTGTAGACCAGGCTGGTCTCGAACTCACAGAGATCCACCTGCCTCTGCCTCCCGAGTGCTGGGATTAAAGGCGTGCGCCACCACAGCCAGTGTAATTTTTTTTTAAATGTGAATTGGTGTTGTGCAATGGGTCTCAGGTTTCCTGGAACTGGAGTTACAGATGGTTGTGAATTGCCATGTGGGTGCTGGGAATTGAACCCCGAATCGCTGGAAACGCAGTCAGTGTTCCTAACCACTGAGCCATCTCTCCACCCCTAGGCAAGTTTTGTTCATGTTTAGCTCAACCTGGCCTCATGCTTGAACTCAAGTTCCTCCTGCCTTCATCAGTTGCCTGAGTGCTGGGATTACAGATGTGCAGCCATATTGATTGATTTACTTCTTAAATGTCTTGACTAATTCTAGCTTGAACAGATTGATACAGAATTGGAGCTTGCTATCCACAGTCTGGTTTTTAAAAAAAAGTGTCATTTAAAGAGATGGCTCAGCCGGGCGGTGGTGGTGCACGCCTTTAATCCCAGCACTCTGGCAGATCTCTGTGAGTTCGAGACAAGCCTGGTCTACAAGAGCTAGTTCCAGGACAGGTTCCAAAACCACAGAGAAACCCTGTCTCAAAAAACCAAAATAAAGAAAGAAAGAAAGAAAGAAAGAAAGAAAGGGATGGCTCAGAGGTTAAGAGCACTGGTTGTTCTTCCAGAGGACCTGAGTTCAATTCCCGGCAACCACATGGTGGCTCACAACCATCTGTAAAGAAATCTGGTGCCCTCTTCTGGCCTGTGGGCACTCATGCAGACAGAACAGTGTAAACAAAATAAATAAATAAATAAATCTTTAAAAAAAAATAAATAAAGTCAAAGTTAACTAAAAGTCAATCAGCTCTCCTGGACGTAAAGTGTTTTCTTTTCAAACAAAAAGTTCACCTGGTCATACAAGATTCTAAGTACCTGTGGTCTGTAAGTCAGTTGACTCCTTACCTCTTTGGCCCGAAGGAGCTTCGCTTGCTCAATCTTCCTGATGACTGCTTTTACTGATAAGGGGATTTCGAGGTTAGAACCCCTTGAGTTATCCAAACCGCCTTCAGACTTTCTTTTCTTGATGAAAGGGTCCTTGGCTTCATTATCTGTATCAGAGTCGCTGTTGAAATCACTTTGCCTTCTGGTGAACATTTTGAAAATCTGGGCGATTTGTTTGTATTTCTTCTATTTCTCACAGAATATAGGCAAATGCTAATAAAAGTGTTCACTGAGAAGCTGCAAGTCTACTTCAAGAGGTTGTGGCTCAGCCTGCTTGGACCAACTAGAGGCCTTCTAATGTTCAAGTCTTGATGATGCTATTAATAGGCCCATTGTGACATTATCATTGACTAGAACATTTTAGAATGTTTACTCTGTGTAAAGAACTAGACATTCTGTGGGCTGTGACAGTAGAAGGGAGAGGGGAAGGAAAGACCAGGAATCCTAAAGGAACAGAAGACATAGTCCTGCGTCGATGAGCGTAGATTCTAAGTGTTAGAACCCAAGCTCCTGTGCTCCCAATGTAACTGTTGGCTCCTCTCTTCCTGGGGCTCTGCCACAAGAGTTTTAAGTTAAGCCTGTAATGGAATGGCTACGAGCTCCTCATCTGGCCCTTAACTCTTCTAGCATTTGATAACTTAGAAGGTATTTGGAAACCACAGTTTCCCTTAGTATTGATTTTTTTGGTTTTTTGCAAAGAGCCTGACTAAGGCTTTGGGGTTTCATAGTTGACTCACAAAATCGAAGGGACCGTTAGAGGCTGCTTCTACCGGAGAAGAGGGTGACCGCAGGGGAGGTGCTGGGATTACAGGTGTGCATGACCATGCTTGGCCAGAGAACTTTAGATAAAGGAAAAAGCACTAGAAATAAAGTTGAGTTCCCCTGTGTTCTTCCCAGATGTCTGTCCCCTCCTCCATCCTGCTTCAGAGGTAACTTCACGAATGTGCTATACCCATGTATAGTCCATCCTTACATAGTTTCATTGTGTTTATGCATTCATAAACTTTGTAGTATCATTTGATAGGTACTATATATTTTTAAAAATTATAGATGGGACTGGAGAGATGGCTCAGCGGTTAAGAGCATCGCCTGCTTTTCCAAAGGTCCTGAGTTCAATTCCCAGCAACCACATGGTGGCTCACAACCATCTGTAATGAGGACTGGTGCCCTCTTCTAGCCTTCAGGCATACACAAGAAAATATTGTATATATAATAAATAAATAAATAAATATTTAAAATAAATAAATAAATAAAAATTATAGATGTAAGCCGGGCAGTAGTGGCACATGCCTTTAATCCCAGCACTCGGGAGGCAGAGGCAGGCAGATCTCTGTGAGTGTGAGGCCAGCCTGGTCTACAAGAGCTAGCTCCAGGATAGGCTCCAAAGCCACAGAGAAACCCTGTCTCGAAAAAAAAAAATTAAATTATATAATTTAAGCACTCTCTAAAATTTCCTATGTTGCGTCCTAGTGCAACATAGCAAAATTATTGAAATGGAAACATTGCAAAATTATTGCTCTGGGTTTGTTTTTTTGTTTGTTTGTTTTTGACAAAAGGGTTTCTCTGTAGCTTTGGAGCCTGTCCTGAACCTTGCTCTCTAGACCAGGCTGGCCTCAAACTCACAGAGATCCACCTACCTCTGCCTCCAGACTGTTGGGTTTAAAGGCATGCACCACCGCCAGGCCCCTCGTAAATTTTGGAGAGAATACAATTTAGGTGTTTTAGCTCATAGGGAAGAGAAGTGAACCGTGGTGTAGCTGCTCTTCTTGTCTCTCCTCCATCCCTCCACACAGCATTGCTGATGGACCGCAGTGCCACACAGGCTGCCACTGAGCTGCATACCCAGCTCCACCCTCTTCCATCCCTCCATACAGAATTGCTGATGAGCCAGGCAGTGGTGGCGCACGCCTTTAATCCCAGCACTCGGGAGGCAGAGGCAGGTGGATCTCTGTGAGTTCGAGGCCAGCCTGGTCTACAAGAGCTAGTGCCACAAAGCTACAGAGAAACCCTGTCTCGGAAAAACTAAAAAAAAAAAAAAAAAAAAAAAAAGAAGAAGAATTGCTGATGGATCGCAGTGTCTGTGTGCCACACAGGCCGCCCCTGAGCTGCATACCCAGCTCCACCCCCTTTTATTTTCATTTTTATTTTAGACAGTTCTTGCTAAATTACCCAGATTGGGCTTGAATGAACTCTGTAGCCCAGGCTGGACTTGAATTTAATTTCTATTTCTTTTCTTTTCTTTTTTTTTTTTTTTTTTTTTTTTTAGTTTTTGAGACAAGGTTTCTCTGAGTAGCCCTGGCTGTCCTGGAAGTCACTCTGTAGACCAGGCTGGCCTCAGAGATCCGCTTGCCTCTGCTTTCTGAGTGCTGGGATTAAAGGTGAGCACCACTACTGCCAGGCAAATATTACATTGATGGATTGATCAATCGATTGAGCAAGTGTGTGTGTGTGTGTGTGTGTGTGTGTGTGTGTGTCTGTATGTGCGTGTGTAACTTGTAGGAGTCAGTTTTCCCCTACCACGTGGTTCCTGAGGACTCTCCTCAGGTTACCAGGCTTAGCAGCCTTTACCTGCTGAGTCATTTCCCTGGCCAAGGTCTTCAGCTTTTGATCTTCCTACCTCAGATCCCAGGTAGCTAGGATGATAGGCCTTGCTCTTCCAGGCCCAGCTGTTGTTCTCTTTTAAAGGTAATAAACGCAGATCAAATGAAATGTTTCGCTTTAAGATGACATTGTCAGCTAGGCATGGTGGCTCATACCTGTAATTCCAGTGCTCAGGTGCTGAGGCAAGTTCAACCTTCAGAATGAGACCCTATGTTTTCTTTTTTCTTTTTCTTTTTCTCCTGTGGCTGGCCTTGTGAAGCTCCTCATACCTTTCCAGCACCACTTGCATGAAAAGGCTGCTCTCAGCGCCAGCTCTGATTTTTCTCGCTTCCCAAACAGATACAACTTTGTCTATAGCTATGCTGCTCCATAACAAGGAGACTGAGACTCTATTTCAAAAATAAAATAGAGATTGTGACTCCCTCCTCTGTCCACAAGTAACTTCCTAACTTGTCTTGTACCATGCTCAAATGCAAGTGTTGCCGGTGTGCACTAGGCGATATGCACTAGCTGCAGTGTTGCCGGTGTGCACTACGCGATATGCACTAGCTGCAGTGTTGCCGGTGTGCACTAGGCGATATGCACTAGCTGCAGTGTTGCCGGTGTGCACTAGGCGATATGCACTAGCTGCAGTGTTGCTGGTGTGCACTACGCGATATGCACTAGCTGCAGTGTTGCTGGTGTGCACTAGGCGATATGCACTAGCTGCTGTGTTGCTGGTGTGCACTAGGCGATATGCACTAGCTGCTGTGTTGCTGGTGTGCACTAGCCCGTGTGCACCAGCTGCCAGCGTCTGGCTGTGACTTTTGTTTTTCTCACATTCAGTAGGAGTCTTCACTTGCTCTTCCAGAGAAGCTGACTGGAGTGGACACCTCTCTTCACATGCATTTCCTGAGGTCTAAAATACAATGATTGTTATAATCAGTCTCACCCTGTCACCTATAGTTATTACTCCCTCTCTTTTCCCATAAATCATAACTCAGGCTAATTTACTTCAGAAATTCGGAAGGTTCAAAATTTCCTACTTTGTTGTGGTCAAATTATAAAAGCCTCAAAACCCTTTTATTTTGCAAAAGGAAAAGCATCCACAAAGCGCCTCAACTGATACTTGCCAACTGAGCTAATTCAACTTTATTTCTCTCTCACTCTGGTGTTCTTTTCATGTAGCACGGAGCTCATCAGCAACGGGAAATGAAGCCTTTTAATGGCAGTGAAAACCCTTCCCTTCTGACTGAAAAGCACTCGCTGAGATACTGTTATGCCGATGCGAGTATCCTAAACCAAGAAGACCGCACCATAGAGCTTTTGTGAAGAAACTAAAAAAGGAGAGAAAGAAAAGATAGACTGTGAGTTGCTAACAAAAGACATGAAGAAGAGAGCTGTGGCATGCAGAGTCTTCGGGAAAACTGTATGGAGAGAGATGGTTGACTGACAAACAGGAGAGACACCCTGAGTCATGGCTTCGGAGGTCAGTGCTAAAATTTCTATCCTAGTGGGAGAGAGTTTAATGACTGAGATAAAATAATGAGAATTTACTGGCAAGGAGATTAAAGCGGGACTAAAATATAAGTATCAGCAACTTTTTTTTTTTTTTAAGTTGTAGCTTTGGTGCCTGTCCTAGAACTAGCTCTGTAGACCAGGCTGGCCTCGAACTCACAGATCCACCTACCTCTGCCATTTGAGTGCTGGGATTAAAGGCGTGCACCACCACTGCCCGGCCAAGTAAAGTATCAGCAACTTAATGGTGAATAGAGTTTGGTATCAATGTGAGAAAGTGAGGTGTTTTTTTTTTTTTTTTTTTTTTTTTTGGTTTTTGTTTTTTATGTGAAGCAAACCAAAGGAGATTACATGGACTAAGAATAGAAAGCCAGAGGTATGGTGCACACCTTTCATCCCAGCACTCAGGAGGCAGAGACAGACAGGTGGATCTCTGTAAATTTGAGGCTAACCTGGTCTACAAAGCAGGTTCCAGGACAGCCAGTGCTGATGTTATACAGAAAAACCTTGTCTTGAAAAACCAAACCAGCCGGGTGGTGGTGGCGCACGCCTTTAATTCCTGCACTCGGGAATCAGAGGCAGGCGGATCTCTGTGAGTTTGAGGCCAGCCTGATCAACAAGAGCTAGTTCTAGGACAGGCTCTAAAGCTACAGAGATACCCTGTCCCAAAAAACAAAAACAAAAAACAAAAAAACAAAAAAAGAAAAAAGAAAAGAAAGAAAAAGAAAAGCCAAACCAAACAAACAAACAAAAAGGGTGGGGCTGGGTGTGGTGGTGCACACTTTTAATCCCAGCATTGGAGAGGCAGAGGCAGGATCTCTGTGAGCTAGAGGCCAGCCTCCTATACACATAGCAAGTTCCTGGACAGCCAGGACTACACAGAGAGACTTTGTTTCAGAAAAAGGGAGAGGGAGAGAGAACAGAATTGAAAGCTTGGGGCTGGAGAGATGGCACAGCGGTTAAGAGCACTTGTTACTTTTGCAGAGGACCCAGGTTCAGTTCCCAGTGCAAAGACATACATGTAGGCAAACAAACATATAGGTGGAGAATCCTGCTCCAACCACCTGCTCTCAAAGTAACTCACACAGAGGCTTAGGATGAATTATAAAAGCTCAAGCGATAGCTCAGGCTTGTGACGAGCTAACTCTTAAATTAACCCATATTTCTTATCTATGCTTTGCCATGTTACCTCATATTCTACATGTTCTGCTTCCCTGGCAGCTGGTTGGGGTCTCTTCACTCTGCCCTTCTCCTTTCCAGTACCCTCAGGTTGATTGCCCTGCCTAACTTTATCCTGCCTTGCTATAGACCTATATGCTTCTTTATTAAGCAATGAAAGTAATAATACTCACAGTGTACAGCACAATCAAAGATATGAAATGAAGATGCTCCTATCCTTTAAAAAGGTAAGAGGAAGATCCTGTGGCTAGAGAGATGGCTCAGCTAACAAGAGAGCACTGCTATTGCAGTTCCATGCACCCACATCTGGTGGTTCACGACCACCTTTGAGGGGAATCTGTGGCTTCAGGCCATCAAGGGTTCTTCTCTCATGAGCACATAGCTGAACCTCAGATCCCTAACAATACACAAAGACAGTAAAAATGAATCGTGTTTCTTTTTCTTTTTTTTTTTTTTTTTTTTGGTTTTTCGAGACAGGGTTTCTCTGTAGCTTTGGAGCCTGTCCTGGAACTAGCTCTTGTAGACCAGGCTGGCCTTGTACTCACAGAGATCCACCTGCCTCTGCCTCCCAAGTGCTGGGATTAAAGGCCACTACCGCCCGGCTTGTGTTTCTTTTTTTATTTTATTTATTTATTTATTTTGGTTTTTGGTTTTTTGAGACAGGGTTTCTCTGTGGCTTTGGAGCGTGTCCTGGCACTAGCTCTTGTAGACCAGGCTGGTCTCGAACTCACAGACATCCACCTGCCTCTGCCTCCCAAGTGCTGGGATTAAAGGCGTGCGCCACCACTTCCCGGCTGTGTTTCTTTTTTTAATGGAAGCTGGAGAGATGGCTTTGTGATTAAGAACATGGGGGCTCTCACAGATGACTTATGTTCAATTTTCAACACCTACACAGCTGTTCACGACCATCTGTAACTCCCATTTCAGGGGATCTGATGCCCTCTTCTGGCCTCCACGTACAATAGGCACACATCTGTTTCAGTCATATATATATATATATATATATATATATATTTAAAGTATTTCAGTCATATATATATAAACATATATATATTTAAAGTATTTAATAAAAATATTGGGGAAAGGGAAAGGTTTTTTATTTATTTATTTATTTATTAAAGATTTCTGCCTCTTCCCCGCCACCGCCTCCCATTTCCTTCCCCCTCTCCCAGGGAAAGGTTTTTAAGATAAACAAGCATGAGTTCATGAAAATGAAAACCTCACTTTAAGGTATATTTTTAAAATTATTATTATTATTATTAATTTTTGTTTTTTGAGACAAGGTTTCTCTGTAGCTTTGGAACCTGTGGAACCTGTCCTGGAACTCACTTCATAGACCAGGCTGGCCTTGAACTCACAGAGAGCCACCTGTTTCTGCCTCCTGAGTGCTGGGATTAAAGGCATGTGCCACCACGGCCCAGCCCACCGCCTGGTTTTTAGTTTTTTTCTTTCTTTCTTTCTTTTTTTTTTTAAATCACTGAATGAGGAAAATATGAAGGCAACTAAAAGTCCTGCCCTCAAGAGACAACGTTTCACTATAGAGCATGCGTGACACTACATCTGGCAGACAGTCAAGAGTATTTTAAAAGGTGAGGGTAGCTGGGTAGGGTGGCACACGCCGTTCATCTCAGCACTGGGGAGGCAATGTTTGGTCAACTTCTACAGAGTCCTTGTCTCAAAAAAAAAAAAAGAAAAGAAAAAAGTGTGAGGTGGGTGTGAGACACAGGCCTTTGATCCCAGAACTCCAGGGACAGTGGCAGTGGCAGAATCAGGTAGATCTCTGTGGGTGTGGCCTGGTCTGCAGGATCTAGGACTACACAACAAAAACAAAAACAAAAAACGTGTTGGGGGGAGGGTTGAAATTAAAGGATACTTGGTAAGAGAAAAATAACTCTAGCAACATAACAAAACAACATGGATTTTAAAAGCTTTCTAGTCCTTTATTTGACTAGGTAAACAGCAGTAAGAGAGATCTAGACTAATTATTAGTTAGCAGCACTTTACGCATCCCAGTGGAGCATCGTCACGTTAATGAAGCCCCATTCCAAGGGGCCTGGGGCTAAGTTCTATTAAATTTGTGTTTAAAACAATCTGAGGTGCTACAGGGCTCCTTCGACAAACCAGGGATAGTAACGATTTATTCACAGGGTCTTGAGGTGAACTCACGCAAAGTGCTTAGGAGAGTGCCAGGCACGCAGTACGCAGTTAATTTCGAGCAGCCACACGAGTCTCTGAGCTGCTACTGCAGCCTGCCCCACCCCCTTCCACGTTTCCAGCAGGGGCAGGGGCGAGGAAGTCGCACACAGCCGCCTTTTAATCAAACCTAGACTCTCAACTCCGACAACTGCGCAAACTCTAGGGGTGCGGCGGTCATGGAGCTGAGAAAAGGGAAAACCGGTGAGTGGGAGCTTTCCACAACCCGCGGCCCGGGACGGAGCGGCCTGCACAGCGTGCACCCACGCCACAAGAGCGAGCGAGACGCTTTCGCTCACGCCGCCAGAGGAGGGCGAGCCACAGCAAAGCACGCCGCGGGGAGGGGTCCTCTCCCGGAAGCAGTTTGTCTGCAGAACCGGAAACAGTTGTTTTTCAAGGAAGGCGGGACCGGGCGGGTCAGGGCGCAGCGGCTGACGGCGGGGGAGGAGCCGGTCCACTGCCGGGTGGAGGGGCAAGGCGAGTGTCCTTATCCTAGCGATTGGGGCCCGGGCCTGGGAGCCAGTTGGAGTCGCGGCAGCGTGAACGATCGGGCCGAGCGGAAGCAGACATGTTGCTCTTCGTGGAGGTGAGTGGCTTCGGTCGTCCGGCCTGGATCTGAGAGGAGCCCAAGTGTCGGGGGCGCGGGCCGGTCCCACCGCCATGTGACTTGCCAGGCCGTACACGCCGCGGAGCCCGCCGAGAGGCTGACACAGCACCTGGGCCGTGCAGGCCTGCAGCCCCACCGTGCGCGCCGCGCACTGCAGCGAGCCGTGGGGGTCGGCGCCCGTGCTGGCGGCGGCGGGGAAGGACGGTGGCGCGGCGGGGGCTCGGCTGAGGTGGCGTGAGGCGCGGAGGGCGAGGGAGCCGAGTGTCCCATATGGAGCTCCCGGCGGCAGCGAACGGGCGGGGGCGGGGGGCGGAGTCTGCGGAGAAAGGGCGATCAGGTGGGCGCGTTCGGGGGCCCGGAGGCCTCGCGCGGCGGCCGGGCAACGTGTGGGACCGCGGGAGGGACGCGGCGGCACGCGGGGGTCCTGGCTTCCGTCTGGTTAATTTGGGGAGGGGCGTGCTCTTAAAAGAGAACGGAAAGACCCCAACCCTCCAACCCCGACCCCCAAGCTTTACCTTTTAAAACTCTTGTTCGGGTTGGGCGATTGGGTCTGGAACGTTCTGTGGGTGAAAGCGACTTAGTTTGAGCGGCGAAGCCCGACAGGGGTCGGCAGCCTTGAAAGGCACCGCTCTGACCTTTTGTAAAAGTTACTCGGGCTGCGGCTGCGTGCTGCGGGTTAATCCCGCGAACCTATTAAAAGCTATTTACACGGGAAATTACAAGAGTGGAGAAAACGTAGGGAAAAGCCGAGCTTTTGTGGTGGTGTTGGATCAGTGGAATTACTTTGTTTCATTGGACCGTCTACCGTCCGCCTGTTTGAGTTTTCAAGGTAGTGATTACCTGGCTTAAATAATGAAGTGTAATTTCTCTCATTTCTGTCCTGTTGTGTTCAGTGATCATCAGCTGACTGCCTGGCAAATGCTTTGAGTAGATTCCAGATCATACTGTTCTTACATTGTGAAAACGTCAATCCAGCAAAGTGCAACTTTGCAACTTGGCATTTGTTAACTATGCCCATAAAAAGAATCTTTTCATGAGGGCAGGAATCACAGGTTGTATAATGGACTTGGAAGCTGGGGCTACTTATGGGGGAAGGGTGTTGTGAGGTGGTGGGTGAATCGTATTCCCTGGTAGTCTGGCATAAAATAAATAAGCAGTTTTATATATTTTTATTTTCATTGTGTGTATTTGTTGTACATGGTACTGTGTTACATAAGGATATTGTAACACAAGCATGAGTGTTGTATATTAGGCAAATTCCTATACGCTCCTTTTTTTTTTTTCTCTGCTATTCTACCTTTTACATTCCCTGAAAGTTTATGTAGCTGATAAGCTTGGGATCCATAAATTAAACGTTAAAGACACTTAGTGTATATTCAAGACTAGTAATATGTTTTAATTCGGATATTTGAAGCAAAACACTAACAGTTTTGACTGTTCTATTTTTTCTTTTCTTTTTTTTTTCTTTTTTTTTTTTTTTTTTTTGGTTTTTCGAGACAGGGTTTCTCTGTGGCTTTGGAGCTCGTCCTGGAACTAGCTCTGTAGACCAGGCTGGTCTCGAACTCACAGAGATCCGCCTGCCTCTGACTCCCGAGTGCTGGGATTAAAGGCGTGCGCCACCACCGCCCGGCTTTCTATTTTTTCTTTTAAATTTAAAATCCACCTTGTTTAAATTTAAAATTCTTTCAAATTTTAAAACCCACCTTGTTTTCCTTTAACAGAATAAGAAATCTGGTTTTATTGTAATCCGGGCTAGTTTGTTTTAGGAATTACTGTGCTGTGCAAATATTGCAAGGTTTTTGTTTGTTTTGTTTTGTGTTTGGTTTTTCAGGACTGTTTCTCTGTGTAGCCCTGGCTGTCCTGTCACTTGCTGTGTGACCAGGCTGACCTTGAACTCAGAGGTCTGCCTGCCTCTGCCTTCTGAGTGCTGGGATTAAAGACTTGCACCACCCAGCTGTGTTGCAGGCTTTAAGGAGAACAAGGGAGAGACAGTAAACTAGACAAGATTGTGACGTTTGTTTTGTCTATATAATTTCCAAAATAAACTGAGACTTTCAAGTTGATTTGACTTTATTAAAATGTGAACTTTACTAGTAGGTATGTTCTTTAGTGTTTTTGCCAGACCCTCTCCTGCCTCTTAAAACAACATTGCAATGTTTTTACAGTTGAGGGAACAAGTTGAGAGGTTAAAAGGAATTAGTAGCCGGGCCGTGGTGGCGCACGCCTTTAATCCCAGCACTAAGGAGGCTGAGGCAGAGGCTTGCAGATCTCTTTGAGTGTGAGGCTAGCCTGGTCTACAAGTGCTAGTTCCAGGACAGGCTCCAAAAGCTACCGAGAAACCCTGTCTCAAAACAAAAAACAGCAAGATAAAACAAAAACTTAGTAAATGCTAAGCAATAGAAATAATTTAGATCCGAGTCGAACTAACCAGCTACAATTTCCCAGTATAGACATAGTACATGCCTCTGCCTCCCAAAGTGCTGGGATTAAAGGTGTATACTTCTACACATGGTTCAGGTAATGAATATTAAGGCTGTATTATTACTGTTTTTCACTAAACAGCTATTTAAAGTTAATATACCCATTAGTCATTTCTTTGGCTCAGTTTATCTTTTTTTTCTCATGCAGTTTATTGAAAATTAGTGTTCTGAAATATTCAGGACTTAATATGTGGTCCTAAAACCAGTCAGAAACAAGACATTAGTTATTTGACATTAAAAAAAATACTGTATTTGATTTTTAGGTGATTGAGGATATACAAAACCCAAGGTCTTGAACACTACAGGAATAAGCTGTACTACTGATACCCAAGCCCTAGTATTGATTCTCATAACCTCATGATACAGAAATTCTCAACAAGGGACCAGAGCTCAGAAGTTTTCACTGGACTGCAGTTAGTAAAGAATTGAAAATTCTAAGTCATAGTTGAAGTAATGGGGTCTTTTCCTGTCTCCAAGAGAAATCACACGTCTTCATATTTTATTTCAAATTTTTCAGGTAATTCGAAGCATTTATACTCATTTCTCCTTGATATGTTAAAATTATTTAGTTTGTTAATAAAATCTATTTGTTGGCTGAGTCGTGATGGCCTACAACTATAATCACAGCACTTGAGAGGCAGAGGCAGACAGATTTCTGAATTCCAGGACAGCTAGGGCTACATGGAGAATCTCTGTCTTGAAAAACAAACCAAAAAAATCCCTTATTTTCCTACTAAATATAATACAATTTTGATATATTTAAATATACAATTTTAAGATGTTTTGATAACTACTGTTCAGTATAATGGGTTTGCTCTGTAATTTTACATAAATGTATATGTGTGTATGCACATATGTATATATTTGTTTTTTTTCTTCTTTGTTTTTGATTATTCGAGATGGTGTAGCTTTGAATCCTGTCTTGAACTCACTCTGTAGATTAGACTGGCCTCAAACTCACAGAGATCCACCTGCCTCTCCTCCCGAGTGCTGGGAATAAAGGTATGCACCACCACTGCCTGGTTATATTTGTTTTTTTGAGACAGGGTTTCTCTGTGTGTAGCCCTGGCTGTTCTGGAACTCTCTCCATGTAACAGGCTGGCCTCGAAAGCATTGATCCACCTGAAGGTGTACACCAACACCGCCCGGCTTGCTTTGTGTTCTCTCTCTCTCTCTCTCTCTCTCTCTCTCTCTCTCTTTCTTTTTTTTTAAAATGATTTAGATCAACAGTAAACTGGCCAATAGTGACACTTCTTTAATCTCAGCACTCAGGAGCCAGAGGCCAGAAATTTTGAGGCCAGCCTGGTCTACACAGAGCCTCTTCTAGGATGTTTGCTCTCCACCTGTTAACTCCTCTACCCTGAGATTGATGATTGACCGCAGGGCCCTGTGGATATCAGGCAAGTGCTCTACCACTTGGTATCCCAGTCCTTGACTTTTTTTTTTTTTTTAAAAAGACAGGCAAAACTGGGCGGTGGCGGTGCACGCCTTCAATCCCAGCACTCGGGAGGCAGAGGCAGGTGGATCTCTGATCTATCTCAAAAAAACCAAAAAGAAAAAGACAGGCAAATGTTTTAAAGATTTTACTTTATTATACAGCCCTGACTGGTCTGGAACTTACTCTGCCTCCCAGCACTGGGATTGAAGGCGTGTACCACCACCACTCCTGCTTTCAGCTCTTGGCATTTCAGTGACCACTAAAATTGAATTTAGTGGTGGCGCATGCCTTTAATCCCATCACTTGGGAGGCAGAGGCAGGCGGATCTCTGTGAGTTCGAGACCAGCCTGGTCTACAAGAGCTAGTTCCAGGACAGGCTCCAAAACCACAGAGAAACCCTGTCTCGAAAAACCAAAAAAATGAAAAATAAAATAAAATAAAAAAAATTGGATTTCTCTTTATTCAAGTTCTTCCCTGATAATATTTTAATATATCACACACACACACACATACCCTAGGTTGCTTGAATTACTCTGTTTTTAAACATTATATTGGTAAATTTATTAAAAGTTGTTTTGTGGCCTGGGCTAGAAACAGTTCCTAGACCACCAAGTACTGGGATTACAGGCATGAACATCTGCGTTCAATTTAAAGTTTTGTTTTTTTTTAATTTGTGGAACAGGGTTTTGTTTTTTGTTTGTGTGTTTAGAGTTGCTTGAGACCCGCAAATGTCACACAAACTTTTTTTGTTTTTGTTTGCTTGTATTGTGACAATACAAGGGCTCTCCTGGAACCCTCTTTGAGGACTAGGCTGGCCTCAAACTCTACAGAGATCCGCTTGCCTCTGCCTCCTCCTCGCAACCCCAGGGCCTAGGATTAAAGGCTGTAGCCACCACCGCACTAGCTGTCTGGAGTAGATTCTCTCCTTCCACTATATGGGCCCCGGGGTTCAAACTCCACTTGTCAAGCTTAACAGCAAGTGCCTTTACCCATTAAGCCATTTCGCTGGCACTTCATTGATATTTTTTAAGGACACTCACATTATAATGTCACATCACCAC